ATAGAATATAAATGGACACGGTAATTTACTAAGCCATGAATTTGCCAAGGCAGCTTCTAATCGGTGAAATATTAAATCGGTTGAACATGAATGTGAGATTATTATTGGGTTAGAGCCCAATGCGCCCTTTTCCCTTGGGTAAAAGGAAGGCCATTTCACCATGGGTTGTTAGCCGTTAAATTGATGAATTTGAATTAAGTCATGGGAGAATTTGTCACGTCCCAACCCATAGGTTTAGGCATAATAAAGGTCATATATCTATAGGATAATTCCATAAATGTGTAAGGTCATTTACCTGCATATTAATGTAATCTCTCATAATATTTTAATGTAGCCTTGCAATTTCAAAATAAACAATTCTATTAACAAATCTTAATAATCTCCAAATAACAAGATCAACTCTATTAACCAAATCATAAAGTGATTAACATCTTATTCCATAAAATCAAATAAGCTTCCAATTGAGCTATTGCTAAATTCTTGCCAATTTATTCTAAAGATCTCTCAATCTCCATGCAAAACCCGATACTCATACTTCTCCACCTGAAATGAGATAAAATTTTGAAAACGTGAATTTAAGAACTCCGTAAATAATATACACATCTATCTCAACCAAACATAAAAATTTAAAATTGAATTTTTTATTGAAAATGAAACGATATAAAAATACAATTCTTTCCTCAAAACCAGAATATTTCATTTTTTGTTCCTTATGACTGTGTAACAAACTACAATCCACGATCAATGATACTCAATCATCAACCCACAATATACGATCCATAATCTGCAATCGATAGATCCTAACTCTATTATAATACCAACAACTCAACCCTCACAAGGGAGAATCATACAACCAAAACAAATAAAAGAAATCGTTCCAAAAATAATCATTTCAATAATATTGGAGAAAAACAAATTTAAATTAGCCACCTCCACGTGGCCAGAATTTTATCTTAAACTTAAATAAAAATATTATACTTAGTCCACAAATCATCTCATTCCATCATTAAAAATATTTAATAAAAAGTCATTCTCTAGAAATAAATAAACAAATAGATAAATAAATTAAAACTAGACAAACCCATTTACATCCATCGATTTGCTTTAAAACATTGGGGTATAGCTACTTATCTCAATAACTATCCTTCAAAATGCAATGACCACACAACTATTTGAAACCTAAATGAATATCAAATATACATAATTGAATCACCAAGTAAAACTTATCCTTTACTCATTAAACATCTACATGATAAAATTCTATAACCATGCCACTGTGGTTCTCTTCCTCAAACCCAAATATTCCAACCCACTTTTAGAAACTAAACACCTAATAAATAATTTCCACTTTAAAAATTCCTCACATCACCACCCAAATTCACAATCTTTTTATCAATACCAAAATCCATTTGCTACAGTAAAATCAATCTCCTGACCGTGCTTCTATCCATTCTCTTCATTCCAAATTCCTAAATACTTCAAGCTTTAGAAGATAATTTACCTTGGATTTAGTCTAGTATGGCCAAATCCCTAAAGTTCAGTTCCCCTTGCATGCGAAAGAAGAAGACAATCATGTTCGTTAGAAAAGAAAGAAAATTGAAACTACCAAATTAAATCTGATTTGGGTTTTCACAAAAAGGAAATATTATTAATTGGTCCCTAAGCTTTAATTATAAGGCTCTAGTCCCTGAGTTCCTCACCTCATTATAATTTTAACCCCAAATTTAATCATATCACATATACACCCTCTAAGATTTTAAATAATTGATTTAAATCTTAAGTAAGAAATCCTTGGGTATTACAAGAAAATGATTGGTACATCCTATAAAGTTACACATTTCGTTACACACTGACGATTTTCGTTACTTGTGCAGTTAAAGCTAATGGTTTTCATTATACACTAACAGTGTGTAACGGAGTGTAATTGTGAAAGGTGTATGTATCATTATACTAAACCATGAATTCAGCTATGTAAACAACTTAATTGAACCAGTGCTAGTGTTTGTTAGGTGGGCATGGGGGGCAGTCAAGCTCTTTATTAAAATAATTTTTGTTAACTTGTAAATCGAGGATGAACCCCTTAATAAGACCTCCCTCAAGTAGTTCCCAATTTGCCAATATGAAATTAAAGGATTTTAGGTTCTAGTATTTGGTGCAGACTTGATTCTATATTCACATTGCATCACATGATTCAAGTCATTTTTAAATAATTGATTTAATCTGTTCCACTTGAATTCACAGCTAAAAGCACAATTAAAATACTTGAACAACTATGTGGCTTCCCTAGGGTTTCTTCCGTGCACTGCTTTTAGGGTTGAGAGCAATGGCGGCGAGTTTTCCTCCCCAGGGTTTCTCTCCAACATAGGAGTTCCTTCATCCCCCTTTTCTTCTTACCCCTCCCTTCCTCCTCTTGATCTCCTCCTTCCTCTTGTCATTGTCTTGCTTTGGAAACTCCAACCTAAGGGACCACAATACAACGGTTTTTTGGGTTTTCTAGGGTTTACATCTATTTATTTTCGAAGGCTACGATTAGAATTAATCTTGCTGGTGAAATGGTTTTTTCCTATTTAATGGGCAAGAATCTCGCTTTGGTGCATCTCCTTGGATGGGATCTTGGCGGGAGTCAAATTCGGCAAATCTGGTTCACACCAGTTCTTAATTAGCTAGCCAATTACCGAAGGAAAGGAATGCTATTGGTAAAGCCAGCCATGGTTTACGTAGGAAGCTTGATTTTCAAGCCAACAAAGGGGCTTTAGTTCTCTTAATGAGTTTTGACAGCATGGGTTTGAAAAGTATCAACAAAGATGGGAACATGATTGGGACTATATGGAGGCAACTAGAGGGCCTTGTGCTTGTCAGGAAAAGGCCCATACCCCTCTTGGTTGTTCTTCTTTAAGAACAAGTAAGGCAACAACTTGTGGGTTGGGGATTGTTTGTTACTAGAATCCCTTACTTTCCCCAAAAAGCTTGTTAAATAGGTGAGAATGTCTAGTAGTTTTTAATGCTCATAATGACTCCCTTTTCTATATTAATAGCCCTATTTAACCCATATTCAATCCCTAGTTGCAGATGGCTCTCTTTGCTAAATTGTCTATATCCGTCATGTGCATAGTTTAAGTATGTTATTAGCCCTGTAGGTTATGTTTCTAATTTTGTCCTTAGGTTATTTTGATTTTGGCTATATGCCATGAGATGGAAATTCTGTTTTAATTTCTTATTACTTAATATATTTCTTTATTTCTCATAAAAAAAAAATACTTGAACAACTATAAACCATTTACTGATTTACTTGGATCTTTAGGTTGAACTTATAGCTTTGTTCATGGATTACCACCACTCACTGGATCTTTGAGTTTTGCATAGAGTTTGATCCATGGCGTACTTACCATGTTTTAATGGTCTCTAGATTGCTCTTGATTTACTCACCTACTTATTTGATGCAAGACTTCACTTTTTTT